CCCACGGGAAACCTTCTCTCGGCGGCTATGTAGGATGGCCGGCTATATTAAAATAACGCGTTAAAAACTCTTCTCCACCGCCGCGGGGCCTGCACAGGAGGCTAGGTCAAAGTCAAGTTTTTACAGTGACGGTCCCAGGGTAATGTAATAACATGTAACATGCTTTTACAACATTTAGCCTTTATCAAAATGATCTTTTTTCCGGAAAATATTTTTAAAAATACCACATATTAACAACGTATTCTAGCATCAAAAACTTTATTACTCTCATAAAAAAATCCAAAATCCTGTCACAAACATGACAATTTTAAACATGCCCTGGTAAAAGTCCCTTCAGATGAATGGAGTAAACATGTTCATTGAGAACTAGCCCATGGACTGATACCCAGATTCCATTCTTTGCATACTACTACATGAATACTACAACTTACAAGTGAAACATGAGCCCCCTGTTTGTACGAGCAGCTCTAAAATACTAGTGTTGCAATGTTGCCATGTGATAGCTTGTTGTCATCTGGAGCCACTAGTTTAAAAAATGCATGACGGATGATTTGCAGATAGTGTGAACTGTTGATTGTATTCGTATTTTCTAGGGAAATGTGTAATAAGTGGAAGAAAACAGACGTTTTACACAACCAGGTTACATCATAGATGTAGTTCTTTGGTTTCTAAGGACAAACGCAGAGTTCACATTTTCCCACTAAAGTAGCCTCAGAATGTTCTGTTATAACTTAACATTTTCAAAGGCTTCGCACCATCCCCCCGTCCCTTCGCTCACTCGGCGTGTTCTGCTCCCTCATGCTAAAATACCCCTGCAGTCTAAATCTACATGCGAAATGTCTGCGCACCCATCTACTCACTGCTTCACGGCCTTCAAAGCTTTCGTCATCTCTTCCACCGGCAGTGTCATGTCCTCTGACATCTGCACGGTGCAAGCAATCTCGTCATACCTGCATGTATCGTCTTTCAGGAGCTTGCCACCTTTTGTCTCTCTGACATAAACTCCTTCCCCGTTCAGTACGTGCCATCGCACGGTCAGGCGTCGAGCGGACGGCTGGGTGGCGATGACTCGTGCAAACCAAGGCACGATGTCCTGCCCATTGTTTTCAGCGCCAGCTACGACGACATAGTCGTCCACCTTGTACGGAGGGGCCTGTAAAGAAAGTGAAAAGGCAGTTAAAAAGGAATAGTAGCACACTACCAGCCTCAGCCAAGAATAGAAGATATAGATATAAAGATAGAGGGGGGGGGCACAATAAGTGGCATATTAATTTACGTGAGATGCTTTACAATTTAATAATTATTAAAATCATCTAAGACATAGATTAGACTTACCTTGCTGCAAGTAGTCCTCTGCGACTTTGCGCGAGGCGCCTGAAAAATAATGAAGCAAGGAAATCAGACCAACACCATTATTCAGGAGAAAATTAACGGAATGAAATCATATAGACTTTAAGTCTCTTAAAATATGCTAGATGTCACAGATATGTTTATGAAGTTCTTTTGATATGTCGTAATCCATACAGTAATAAAGGCTTTCTCCTGGATGTTAGTATAAAGGAAAAGTTTAAAGCGCTTGTTTATACCCTACATGTGTACGTTACAAATTAAAGTAATGCATCTCATACAATTCTATTTCAATGACTAAGCTATGATGCTTTGCCTACCGAAGTTGTTGCCACGTCTGTGGTCTTCCTCTTGTTGCTGTGAAAATAAATCAGCATACAGTGATTATTCCTCCGTTATTATATTCCAAAAACAAGCCAAATCATGGACTACTGTTTGATGTTGTGCATTTCAAATGATGAGCTGACTTAATGTGTTCGGAATAGCGGAACAATTAATGTGTTCGATACTGTGGAAAAATAGCAAAGCAATATCTTTAAATTCGTAGAGCTAAGATTGTTCACCTTTTGTGATTCTTATCATCATATAAGACTACGCACGGTCTCCCATACCACTATACTATTAGTGCCTGATGAAAAGTAATACATTTATTTGCTTCGACATAACATCCTGTGGATTGTCCTATCCTGACCTTGTGTGCTCCTTCTCCCTTTCCACACCATCTCCATCCTGTCAACAGAGGCAACATTTAAAGTCAACATTCAGGCACATTGCAACTAGAAAATAGAACAAAATACAAATTGGCCTTTGCTATAAAGATCGGTTCAGACATTTTTAATTAAGCAGAAATGTACCTTTGCCTGTTCCAAAGAAAATAGGAGTCCCCTCGACACTTCCTCATCCGTATGCAGCTTGTTCTGCAGTAGCTGGCATGCTATTTGTTGTTCTGCCAGCTGCTCCTTTACTTTCTTCATCTCTTTCTCTACCTGGAAGTAGGACATATGTCATCATGAAACTGACCACGGTAATAAAAAATAACTGTTGTGTTACAAATTTTATATCTAATAGAAATACCATTTGCAGCTGCTGTATATCAATAAGGCCTCATTTCTAATGCTATTATTTGATTATCCAAACCACGTTTAAACAGTTTTCTTGTAAGTCATATGTACATAAGAAACCTTTCTCAGAGTTCTGTCTCATCACAATCTGAGTTATGTCGCGCAACTACTACTAGTCTACACCAGATCAAAACATTCAGAGACAAGAATGGTGCTCACAGAGCGACCACACGGGGATCTTGCTGCGCTTGGCCTATTATAGGGCGCAGTCCAGTCGCATCGAAGTCGCGGCCTCTGCGTTACTATTTCAAACTCGAAGTATGAGCATAAGCTTAATATTGCCTCGGTTTTCTCAATTATCCCAACTAAGTTGGTTTTATTTTAGGTCATAATATGTACATAAGAAACCTTTCCCCGAGTTTTCTCACATCACAATCTCAGTTATATCGCGCAACTACTATAATTTTAAACCAGTTCTAAACAGTCCCAAAGGTTATGGCAAGAATGATGCTCCTATCAAGCGAGGTGCAAAAACGTGGGAAACGTTTGGGTTCCGTACGTTGTGAGCCTCAGTGCGCCTTCGAAAGAAATCCTACGGATTTGGGAGCACGTAGACACCCCGTAGAATTTTCATTCAGGAAAAACTTTTAATTCAGGAAAAACTTTCTCTGCGTCCGGGCTGCCGATTTAACCCCCGTATGAGCCAGTACGGCCGACGTGCGTCAGAGCTGACTCCGTGTGTCTATTTAACTTTTCGGGAAAACGTGGCAGGCGTGGCCTCCCAAAAAAACGTACGGACAAAAACACGTAGGCAAATTTTAGAGCGCAGTGCAGTCACAGCAAAGCCGTGGCCGCAGTACTAGAAAGGGAAAAAAACTTACCCCTCCTTTTTCTTTCTGCAACGTCTTGATTCCCTACAGCAACAGACACGATACAGGTTAAACTGTTGCACAATCTACATTTCAGCCTTAAATGACCTTATGTACTGAATTTTACCCATCATGCAGACCTTACATCGTAAACTAAACATATGTTTCCGGGAAAATAAATCAACATCAACTGTTAAACGCCCGGTATACACCTTCGATGCTTATACATAATCAAAACCTGACATGGAATGACGTGAAATTTTATTTTTATGTCTCATGCATACCTCCTCCAGTTTCCTGTTCTTGCCACGCAGTGTCTGTACTTCTGCCTTTAATTTTTTTATTGTGGCATCTTTTTCCTGCTCGGTCAGGCCGTCATCGTTTCCGTCGCCGTTCTGCATGGAAATATGAATTAACGAACCGGTTCTTTTATATTTGGTTAGTCTATTTTCTGTAGTTGATTGGGATTAAGTCAACACACACCTAGACAACCGCCTACCATTTAGATTACAACATTAACTAAAGAATTCCCTAATCCAAAACTGCCACACCCCTCCTGAAACTCATACCAGTAATAGTATGGTAAAAATGTCGGATGGAGCCCGGATCAAAGAAATTGTTGGGATCACAGAGAAATCACGTTTGAAATAAAAATAGATTGATTCAATGCCAAGTGAACGTTGCCGCCTTCATTATGAGGGAGGCTTTTATCCGCTCTGTTGGTGATTATATCATGAGGCGTTGGGTTTCGCAGGTTGAAAAAGGCTCTAAGCATCGTTTGTGCCGAGAGATCTAAGCCGGTTTGTGACATGCTCAACAACTTTTCTTTCGACATTTTTGGCAAAAATTCTTTTTAACCAACTCCACGTGTCACTACTTATCCATATTCTGACGACAAGTGTTTAACAACCGAGCAATACCCCCATGAACCCGTTGGTTTCATCTATTAATCAGACAACCCTCTATCTTATTGTGTAGCAGAAAAAGAGTGACTTACAGCCTCCAGCTCAACCTCTTCGGTTATCTCGGTGTCCTCGCCTTCAGCGGATGGCTTCTCCGATCTCTCCTTCACCTTCTTCTTTTCTGCTTTGCTCTTTTTCTGTGCGACACAGTCTATAATTTATTAACTTGCCCATCACAATCGCACACAATAATCCTTCATTGAGACTAGCCTAAACATTGCAAAACCATTTCTTCCATTACATTCAAAACAAAGGCAAGTGCTCAGCTGATGTATTTTGTATACTTTTTGTAGACAGAGCTATCATTTCAGATCCCTTGCCGCTTTATGACTATACTTTCTGAAATGTGTAATTAGCAAAGAAACACACAAGCGATTGAGCAATGATTTGATGCCACAAAACCAACTTTATTGGTCAAAGGAATGGGATATATTCGCAAACGAATTACGTTTGTAATTAGCCCTTTTTTCCCTTCATATTCCTTAATTTTAAAAGAAAAACTTACCAGTTTTTTTATTTCTTCCGCGTAGTCCGCCTTGCCTTCTACCAGATCTTGCAGAAGTGATGCCTGTTCTACGTGGTCGAGGTCGGAATCGGTCAGGAACTCGAAATGGACCGGCCTAAGTTCGCCTTTCTTCTGACCGTGGATTTTCTGCAGGCCCCATTTCCTAGCAAACTCGGTGACGCCGTTGAAAACGTCACACGGCGCGCTGGCCAAGTAGATGGCTCGTCTGTGTATGTTGTTGAGCTGCTTGCGCTGTTGATTAGATGAAATACAGGCATTACGATATGTCCAGTCAGATTTTTATATACCTATTACAATACCAGTAATGTTGCTTAAGACTGTTATCCTGGGTACCATCCTCCGTTATTTTAGTAGCCATTACCTTAAATCTTTTCGCTGGCAAACTACGCACGGAACCAGCAAATAGATCGAGCTAGCGGTACCCAGGATATAAAACTAAGGCGATGACCTAATTTGGAAGGTCACGTGAAAAAGTGAGGCCAATTCGAAAAAGACTGGTATGAGAACAGGAAATAATAGAGGGGGAAATGAGAAAAATACATTTTCTCACACTATATCCTGTTCGTTCCTCCGCTTTTTCTGTTGTAATTTTGATACATTAACGTTTAACGCACCTTGTCTGTTCGCTTTAATCCCCCGCAGCCGAGCATGATAGCCAAGCCATCCTTCCACGCTGACAGGGTTGCCCTTTCCGTTGGTGGCTCAACGGATGATATGTCGTCAGGACTACTGTATCCTGCCTTGTTGTAAAGGCTAGCCCTGAAGCTAGTTAACCTGTCCAGCGTCGTTTCAGGTTTGGAACAGTTAATGGCGTTGTTGTGGTCCATCCCGAGGCGCTTTGCCATGTCGTCGGGGAGTCCACAATACACGTTAAGGTGGACAGTCGTGTTCTCCAGCTGGTCAGGTGTTTCCTGGAGTATCTCTTGCAGGGCAATCCTGGTGTGGTTACCCCCGATGACCTCATACTCATAGTTGTTGATTTCACTCTCTTCAAACTGCTCAGCCGTGATGTTGCATATATTCCCGATTAGAATTGTCGCCTGCACAGATGTATGGACAAACACCTTTTTGAGCTTGTCCACATGCTGGCGATCAGCCACCCTCACTAGCCGCTTCCATGCTGGCTGCTTAAGATGTTGAATTGGAATGCTGTAGGTTCCTGTAAAGTTCAAAATATGCAGTAGTATTAGAAGGCTACATAACGCTCTATCCGTCAACAATAACTACTTTACCTGACAACATCTCGAGTACATAATTATCAGAAACAGTTAATACATGTAACATATTTTCGAAAAGAATTCCACGATCTCATACCTTCGCTAAATGATGTTAACCGCTCTGACTGATGAAATTATACATTTTTCTCATTGATGAAAATAAGTTCCTCATTCCATTTCAGTCATCCATCCAGGATTCTCTCAAATAATAATCTCCACGCAACGACAACCTTATCTCGACAAAAGAAATACTATTTTAGCAACCCTCAAAGATAATGCAAATATTACCCTCTGATTTGCATAACTGCCATCTAATTATGTCAAGCATCACTTATGCTACTTATGTACTAAAATCATGACAATCCGTCAGCCAGTTCTTGAGTTATCCTCCCACAAAAAGTTTTAAACGAATTGCCCTGCAGTTGAAGAACATGGCGCTAAGGGGCCAAAAATCAAGTCACTTCTTCTCTAGCCCATGAGCTATCTACCATCCAAAATTCGTGACAAAACCTGCGCAAAACCCGGCTTTCTGTTGGATGTTTGGTCAACACTGCATCAAAATTTTGTTCGCTGCATTACAGATATTTTCGAGACAACAGATAGAAACTATAGGAGGTATATCATTGCCATGTATGCGAACGCGACTTCATATTATACAGTAGCCATAAATTGAATATTGAAACAGGTAGATATTACAATATAGCCCCTGACCAAAGATTCTGTCCATTTTGTCCAAAGCATATTGAAAATAAATTTCATTTTGTTATGGAATGTACCAAATATGATGTTATACGTAACAAGCTATTTACATTTCTCGAATCAAGTGCCATAGAGTTCAAGAGTCTCGATGTTGGAGACAGATTTGAATATATCTTTACATGTAATGGGCCCCACAATGCAAAAATAGAAATGCTTTGCTATTAGAAAAGTACCGAAACTTGTGATTAGCCCACTCGATTGTAACACTTTATCAAAGACTTGTGATATCCCTTATTATTTGAATAATTATGATATAGATATGTTAGGTTTTATTCGACATTAGGTCTTATTCAACACACTTATTTCATTGTTGTTACTCTCCTTATGTAGTTTGCCATACATTGTACCATGTGCATTTGTCGTGCAATAAAGTTCTTCATATTATACCCCCTGCCGAAGTGTTTTGTATATTAGGTACCAGGTATCGCTGAGATTTATTACGCTCTTTCGACGCCATGCTACTCGCCTTCCTTTTACTGTACTTAATACTGTTATTTTATTAGAAACAGACAACTAAGAATTTCAGGAATTCGTGTACTAACCAACGAAATGTCGCTTAATTGTCTCCATGACATCCCCTGGCAAGGTAGTTTCCTTGCTGGTGGCGGTGGAGGAGTCCTTGCCCTTGCTGGCGGCGGTGGAGGAGTCCTTGCCCTTGCTGGTGGCGGTGGAGGAGTCCTTGCCCTTGCTGGCGGCGGTGGAGGGGTCCTTGCCCTTGCTGGTTGAGGCTGGAAAAGCACACATGCGTTAGAACTAGCATTTGAATAAAGCATATTATATAAACGAGCGCGCTGCTTGGCCGCTTTGTCTAGTTTCTAGTTTAGCCTTTATTACCATGATGTTGGGCATTAAGGAGAAGACGAAGTTAATATCAGCAGTATGCTACCCTCGTACCGGTGTACTCGTAGGAAGTTGTACGAGGTTGGTTTTGACGTAAGGAATAAGACGCGGTCTAAGCTAACTTCGTACATAAGCGATGAAGATGTACGAAGATGAACAGCCTCTCCCTGCGCAGACCATGACATTACTCTATAGGCCTTACGCGTTAGTGCAAACTTTTCTGTAACTTTCTACATCCCGCCCTCTGTAAGAATCTATATTACGTCACATAGCGCTACGTCAACTTCGTATATCGTATACCAGACCACCCTCTGTACGTAAGGTCCCCATTCCACCAGGACCGCGCTGTCAGTGCGCCCTCTCTGCGACGTGAAATTGGCCGGATCGCGGAGACAGCGCGGAGATCGCCAAGGACCAGCTCTGGTCCGCACGGTCCAGCTCCGGTCCGCACGGTCCAGCTCTGGTCCGCACGGTCCAGCTCTGGTCCGCACGGTCCAGCTCTGGTCCGCACGGTCCAGCTCTGGTCCGCACGGTCCAGCTCCGGTCCGCACTACAGCAATATCGGCTCAAAAAAGTCCGAAAAGGTTAAAAAGTTGCTCGTTTTGAGACAATTGCGGGATAAAATACAAAATTTCATAGCAGAGTACTGGGTTTACATGTTCGCTATCCTCCGACCAAGTATGGTGGCCTGAGACCCGCTACTTTTCGAGATAACCCCGTACACTCCGTTGTGTATCAAGCATCAAAAGCACTTGTTTGACCGACGCTGAGACCGTGCAGACCGTGTATAGCGTATAGAGGCGAAGTAGTGATAATTGGTCTGGCGGTCCGTGTTTATTGAATGGCTAAAATGCTTTTGAAGGTGTGGTTGTTGCGAAGCATGTGTTTGTTTTCATTCCGAAACTGTTTTACTGGCAGATATCTTAGAGCTGGCAGACAGACAGGTAGAGCTAGCCCCACGCACTTTGAATACATATACGTGGTTCACGTCACCCAAGAACAAAAAGGCACAGCTCTCTGGGTGAGCTTTAGAGAGAAAAAAAGTATTTTGTGGCTCCTGACAGTATGAGGGCTAAGTAGTGAGGGTTAGTCAAGCAGTCCATATGTATTGAGTGAATGTATCTACTATGAAAATGTTTTTGAATGTGAAGAGAACCATGTGTTTGTATTCATACTGCAACTGTTTTGCTGGCTCCATGGAGCAAGTAGCCACGCACTTTGAATACATATACATGGTTCACGTCACCTCAAGATAAATAGTATTAAATACACATACGTAGTTCACTTCACCTTCAACTTCAAGAAAAGAAAACACCACGCACGAAAATTGTTCAGATCGGTTTATCTGTGTTTGTAAAACTATGCGTGATAGTGTATCATGTGTTACGGCCCCACGCACTGTGAATGATACGTCACATGACGTGTACACGCAGTGCTGCCCTTCTGGATTCCAACTCTGCAGCTGTTTTATGCGCGTTTCCGTCTCGTAAACAGTCGATACCATTTGAAACGGTCGATGCCATATTGCTGACTGGTCGATGCCATATCCGTTCATAACTTTTATGAGATCCAAAAAGTATGAAAGGTATAAAAAAAAACATTTGGATGTCTGATGTAAGGCAGGATTGTGAAAAAAGTAAATATAGTGAAAAAAGAAAGCACAACCTCGGATTCGAACCCGGGTCAAAATGCCTGAGCCTAAAACCCAAACCTTAACCCTAACCATCTACGGCAAAAAGCAACACCGTGGTTGACGGAGCGTTCTGATTAAAGTTAGCTGTTTTGCGATATGGCAACGACCGTTTACGAGACGGAAATTCAAGGAGCGGCGCATCGACTCCATAGAGCTATCTCTACGCACTTCGAATACATTCACGTTCACGTTCCCTTCAGGAAAAAAAGCTCTATATACATGGTTCACGTCACATTTAAAACAAAAAGTTACAGCTCTATGGGTGACCTCTCAAGAGAAACAGTGCGTTGTGGCGAGAGTGAATCGGCAAGGCTGTCCTTATGTATTGATTGACTGTACGTATATACTAAATTTTCGTGGTGCGAACCATGTGTTTGTTTTCATACTTCGTGGAGCCGCCATAACTTGTCTCGTGGTCTGCATGGCGTTTTGATAGCGAAGTCAAGCAAGTCTGACGACGTTTAATTTGTGTCAAGATGACCTTATTTTGAGTGGTTGTCTTTGTATCGCATTCAATTCAGAGCTAAAGTAAGGTTTATTTGAGTTCTCTGACCATATCCCGACCACGAAATCAAGACGTCACCTAACGAGCTTCGTCAGCCGCTTAGGGGCGATTTTCCTGCATTCCTTTCGCGTCTCAGCTTGCGGTGTACAGTTTTAGAACCGACCAAGTCCTTGAACCGACGTACAATAAGAAAACAGGATATCGAATCTTCTGTTGAGGCCACGGAAAATGCGAAATATAGAATTCCATTGTTCACGGCGTTGGTTTCCGTAAAGTCTTCTTTAGTCCAGGACTAAAATAAAGAAGAATAGCTTTACTTGTACTCGTAAGAAAATTCAAACTCTACTGCTGGATCAGTTACGGATTTTTATTTCCGGACGTTTCGAGTGACATCCATCACTCTTCTTCAGCGTCACAAATGAACAGAGAACCGATTCACTCTTATATACAAGTAACTAGAAAAACCGTTTTTCTAGTTACTTGTATATAAACCCAAATACTTGTATATTTGGGTTTTGGGGGGTATTTTTAGCGTGTTTTTAGGCTTTTTATTGGGGTTTCTCTTTCGCACTGTTTGGTGGGGAACAAATTCAGTGCAAAAGAGAAACCCCGATAAAAAAAAAGCCTAAAAACACGCTAAAAATACCCCCAAAACCCAAACCTCTGCTTGGAGAGTACATCAACGTAGCTTTACTTGTGATTAGGCTTAGCATGAATAACGAACGGTCCCCCACAGACAATGGGACAAGTGACATTAATTAATAACAGGCCGACGCGACCAAATCGTGGTTTATAGAGAGTGTTTTGGTGCATTTTTTAAATAAATAAACTCTTTGCATCAGTAAAATAATGGTCTGACGTATAAAATTTAGCCTGGAGTCCAATCTTGGATGCCAGGTTATAGCTACCCTAGAAAGCTATCCTTGAGATCGGGCCGGGATAGGAGTTCGAGGGCCAAACTCCTATCCCGTCCCGATCTCAGGGATAGCTTTCCAGGGTATTATATAGATTTCACGGGAGGTCACAAAGCCTCCATCCAGAACTCTTATGGCGGTGTACTATTGTGCAGAATCATAGATACATGTACGGCAAAATCATGTAGCTAGCTCTTCAATCACAGTGGCTTATGTGATTAACAGTCCAGAAACTTTAGCCAGACTATTTCCAGGGCCTACCCAGGCCAGTTTCTCAGTATTGGACCTACATGCCCCCACGGGAAATTATACTACAGCCATCCTCAGGCCCTGATCCACACTCTGGGCATTCCGACTGTTTCAAAAGTGTAAACCAGCCCCTACCCTGGGTTCCAGCCAAGTTTACGGGCCGCTAACCGTTTTTTTTTCAGGAGCCAGAATATTCGCCCGCAGAGGAGTATATTGGCCCTCAACTCCCCCGGGCTAGACTTCCCCGTAGCGCGGTAATTTAGACTGGTATCCAGTCTGGTTCGTGGTCGGGAACGGAAGAGCTCTGGCCCGCCCGCCTCACATAAGCTTCCCGGTGCGGTGTTTTTTTATTCGCCCGCGCGCACTAGTTTGGGGGGTCTTCAGAGGATGCCATCCATAAAATTAAGGCGGTGTGGCCTTAGTATTTCTTGGGGGGAGCCCCTGCATACAAAGAGGACCATACAAAGAGGACCAAATAGGATGGCACCAAGGCTACTTCTGAAGATTCTGAAGAACTTTTTTTTCGCCGTGCAAATTATGCACCCTTTCCAGTCCCACACCGGTATTCTTTTTCTTTTATAAACTTGTACATGCGTCGGTAACAGTCCCGCTGGAACGCCTGCAAACAAGGCTAACTCGTCCCAGGTGGGACAACACACGTGCTAATCTCCAAGCAGATCCTATGGTGGCATGTAAAGGCAGTATCAAAATGGCCAGGTAGTATCTAAATTAGCCAGAGAGGGTCCATACGTCAACCACGGACACCCATAATATCTGCTTGGAGATTATGCCATGCCCAGGATACGGATGTGGATTTAATTACGGCGGACGCTGTGGAGGGGCGTGGTGTAAAGGGCTCAAGGGGCACTGTGCTGGGCAGCCACGTTATAGAAAAACACATGATTCGTATTTCAACGACTTCAAAGGAATTTAAGAAAGAGGCCATTTCAGTCAGTAGTTCAGATCTTGTTCAGATTAAGTTGTATACTAAAAAAAAGACTACGCGGTGATTTATTACGATATGCTAGATATAATATTCTACCGTCTGTGCCTGGATTGGTAAATTAATAGTTACAAAATCTATTATTTCTTCGCCTTCTTGTATTAACAATTCCCGAAAATTTCCGACAGGGAAACAAATCCAATCAACTAAAACCCTGCGTGTCTCGAAACAGTGTAAATGCTCTTCAGTACTAATTCCGTTTTGAGTATTTTGAGGCATGAGGACAAAACGGGGCATGAGGTTGAAAAAAGGAATGGTTGACCTCTTCTCAAGCATTTGCATAAAAGGCCAGAGTAAGTTACTTTTATGGATGACATATTCCAGAGACTCTTAATGTAATGCGATAAGGCGAAAAAAGGCGGGCCAAGAAAGCAGCTTCCTACATTTTCAAATGTTGACATCATATATAAATATAAACCTTGTTAGACATGAAATGATACATTGCGCTAAGTTTACTATTCATCATCATGACATGATCATGATCATCATCGGTCGACCGTATCGCCCCTTACGACGTGACCCTTTCGTTAGCTAAATACAAAACGGGGTCGCCATGCACACCTCCGTCCAAAATGTCTGGACGGATACAGAACAGAGGTTCGCCAGAGGTTCGCCAGTTTGTTTACCATAAGTGTACTATTACAACATCCATTTCTCACTAAAACAACAAACATTTTCATGCCCGTAGCCAGGATTTTGAAGGGGGGGTGGCAGCGAGCGCCCAAGGCGCGAGGTTCCTAGGGAGGTCCGGGGGCATGCTCCCAAGGGAAATTTAGAAAAATGAACCCTCTGAAATGGCATCTCAAGCGTCAGAGATAACTTTTTTCAATGACAAAGTGAGCAGCTTTCCTACGATCCTCCCTCCGTCTGGCTACGGGCATGATCATCGCATATACACAACTAGTGACCACCATCACATGTAAAATGAATAAAATACATCACTGTATCAAAATAAAATAAAATAAAATAAAATAAAAGACAAAACCTTAAATGAGAGCCTTGTCTTGTTTCCTCTCATAGTTATCTGCCATCTCATTCCGGCATGGCAACAGACATCTTTGCCCATTTTCGGCATGTTGACAGGTGCCATAGGGCAACGATTTTTTTTTCAAAATCAGGCCAAAATTAATGCGCGTGCTGATGCCATCCATAAAAATCACTTCCTGTGGCCTAACTATGTGTATTTTTTTCATTCCTACCCACCAACAATAGTCCGATTCTAACAAGCCGATACGCCAACGTGTGTTTTTTTTCATACGTATGACTTGGACCGTGGGCGTTCGTTTCACGCCAAATTCAAGGCCTAAAATGTTCTGTCTAATCCACGACGTAGTATCGGGCTAGCCTGGGGGCCAGTATCGGGCTAGCATGGACGCCAAACCCATAGCACACTGGTCACAGAGTATCTCAGTGAGCTACTCAAGTTGTGTCCAGTGTGCTACGGGTCTGGCACCCACGTTAGTATCGGGCCCCTGTATGCATGATATGCCTAAAACAATATCCATCTATTAATGCCATGATTACCTTATAACAATAGGAAAGTAACCTACCCATACTAGATGTCCCGGGTCCTGTTGAGGTGTCCGGCAACATCGCCCAGAATGGGTACTTATTCTCCAGGTAGTCCCACTTCTGCGTAAACAGGTCAGAGGTCTCGTGGTCACGGAACTTCTCGCAGAAGTAGTTCTTGCCGGTGACAAATTTCCCAACTTTGGGAGCGACGTCCTTGTTCATCTCGTTTTGTATTTCAATCTAGGCAAAAAGGCATCACTTGTTATGGTCTAGTACAGTTTATCCCAAGCAAGACTGGATATCGAGACGTTATGTAGTTCCCTTCGGTAGTCAAGTGCAGTGTGCCCGCATATATTTAAAACTATTTCCGTTACGGGGCCGTACAGCTCGGGAAGTAAGTTTGGCCGGCCAAAATTATTCTAATCTGGGTAACAGGTTAGCCAAACTTCCTCTTGCTTCCCACCCCCGTACCGTTACAGGGTCGGTAAAAAATCCCCAAGCCGGCACGAGGGATATTATGATTCCAACAACAAAGTACATGAATGATGATTATGAATGGATGTCAAACTCTTTCCAGGGTAGTACAGGCCAGATCAGCGCATACAGGGCCAACATGCAACAAAATAATACCACAGACGCCCCGGGGGTGGTCTCCGAGGCATTTTGGAAACACAGATCGCCTCATTTCATACTAAAGATACACAACAGGGAAAAGCACACAGCGTTTCTAAAAAGTAAAATTGACTTGCCCAAAAGTATTAATTCTAATAACTCACCCATACTCTGCCAGTCTTGGTCGTTGGTTGTAAATTGACGACTTTCCCTCCGGCGCGTGGAACTCCTGTAAAGTACGCGTAAACGTCTCGATTTTTCACCTCAAACCACCAGTCATCCTCTACGGACATAACCTGCCCCGCCGCCATGTTGACCACAAACTACTAGCACGCTGAGGTACTGGTACACAAGGTCTTACAGACGTTATGTAGGTCGGAACAGTATCAGAACTTTTGACAAACAACAAAAACGCAAGAGTTAAGGGAAAGACGACCGCGCATGGACAGTGCTTCACACGAAGTGATGACACCAAAATCCTTATCTTCACCGGCATGGGATCCAGATGTGCCCGCTGATTTGTAGATGGCATGCGAGGCACGGCTATTATGAAGAGCGGCGATATCTTAAACAGATGAGTTTCTGAAAGGAGAATGGCTCACAGTTTCTCACAAATTTCTCACAGTTTGTATTCAACTTTCAAGATAGCCGGACAACTAACTTTCAACATAGCTGGACACACGCATAGCAGTTATGACTATTGTAAAATTTACTTGCCCAATTGTACCAACTTTATCTGTGGTTGGCAAACAACCTTTTCACTAACCGATTGGACCATTCGTTTTCTTAATGATAAAAACAATCTTCTGATCTCTTATAGACGGGATGGTAGTGGGATAAAGTAAAATTCAAGCTGGCCTGAAATTAGGGTGAACGATGCCCAGTCTGTATATATGCTTTGAACATGCATTTTTCTATGTGAGAAATGCACTTTTTTCTTCATGTTGTATGTTATTAACATGTTGTTATGAAGGCAGCCGAAAATGAGAATCTTCAGCTAGTTGAGGCGGTTGAAGAAGAACATCTGCTGAACAACTTGGTATTCTGTCAGTCACGTAAATTACCCGTGAAATCCGTAGGCGCCACGGAGTCAGATGTGGGACTCGTCCGGATTCTGAATTGCCGGCCCAGATTTTTGGACTCGCGATGGCTTACACTTCTATGACTATGATGTCTCTTCAGTGGTTCTGTCTTTTAGTGTGCAGTACGACTGTTTTCTCTGCCAATGTAAATGAACAGGCACTCGTCACCGCAAGAAAAGCGAATGTGACGTTTCCCATTCCTGCCGGGTCTTCGTCCGTTTCGTTTGAATCAGGGGGCGGTAGTTACGGACACATGCCACCCGACGACCCTGGTTTGCCTCCGCGCCCGCGTCATGGATTTTTCATGGAGGGAGAGCACATAACCGCGGCATTCTACACCCTTCTCGACCTGACCCGGACTATTTTTCACTTAACAGACATGTTTTGGGATCTGCTACTTTCTACCTGGCGTTTTATTTTACGTTGTACGACTACAGTTTGTTCCCTGGCTGTACCAAGTTCATCCCGGCACTCAGGTGAAGCCCGTTATGGAACGGTCTTGTTCGTGCGTCCGCCCGTAGGACCAGTGGCCCAGATTCATGTGACAGAAGAAGACTCTCTCGAATACATCCAGGAAGAAATATCACATGTAACCGGTATACCAAGTGGAGCGTACAAAATATTCAAGAACAGCAAAGAGGTAAGTTGTCGTAACTTTATTTATGTAGTTTTCCCATTCAGTTAGGTGACGAGTTCAAAAATGGATAGATGGGGTTTGTTTCAAGGTATTATGCTGGAACGGATAGTTTGTCTTTCTTGAATTTTCATGTAGGACAGAGTTGAGATAAAACGAATTATTGACCGCTACTCTGGTTTTTAGAAAGCGACCCCCACCCACCCAGGCATGCCCTTTTCCGTAGACCGTAATCGGCCGTTTTAATTCTACAAGGTAGAGAGTTAAAATGATCTTTATCAAGTTTTGACAAACATACAAGGGCGAACATTTAAAATACCTAGGTCAATCCCTTAATTTCTATGAGTTTCTTATTTAGAAGATTCATTGATTTGAAACTTGTGTAGCCTTGATGTCAGACCCATTGTATTGCTCAGTAGGCTTAAACTAGCCTGATTAAATCGCTTCTGCCGGCCGCCCAACCTCAAGCCGGCGGGGAGGGGCCAGCAAAGCCGCGGACGGCAGGCTCAAACTTATCGGGACTTGTGCCCGGCATCCAGGCTAAAACATGTGCCGGAGAAGATTCACAGATCCACGGAACAGACCCCGATTTGCACCCTGGCTCTAATTAAAAAGATAAAGGGTTCGGGGCAGCCTGGGATTTAGGGCTTCTTTCCACAAAAAAATCGCTTATGAACGACAGCGTCTGGCACCCAGGCTACGAGCTACGTAACTCTAGAACTCAGTCACGGTGCCGACTCATGATAAATGCCGCAAAAGGCCAGCATGTGTCGGTTTGTTTTGAAAGTCTTCATGTACATCCAGAAATTTGCAATACTAGTACTCGTTTTGTATTACCGTACCAGTATCTGTGGTTTATCAGTATTCTTTTGGGTTTGACTTTTTTATTCGCGAGTTTTGGGTCTTCAGAGGATGTCATCCGTAGGGTCGGTCGTTATGGACATTTTCCTTGCAACGTATCCCCTAACCTGTTATCTCAGACCTGTAGTTACAATCAATGTTAAAGGACCATGTGGATCTTCCACTGCAGTACTTGGTCTAAGACATCCGATTCTAAACATGTAAAGAGTTACAGAGAGATGCATTATTTTATTAAAAGGAGCCGACGTTCTATGGGGACTATTATTTTAGTCAGCCTTTCTGATAACTGTACCCTTTTGACCGGGTTGAGAGAGTTTACTGGGTGTCAGTCCCCAACACAAGCCCTCGACTTTGTCGGATTTACACCCGCTGATATCTCAACCACTTTTCAGTACAGGATCAATCATTACTCACCACAGGAAGCCCGCCACATGGCCTGCCAGCGCAAGGCGTATGGCATTAGCTGTAGAGGATAAACAAACAGCTCTTTGGAGTTTCCCTAGCTTAGGCCACAGCAAGTAATTTGTATGGATGACATCAGTGCGCGCATTAATTTTCGCCTGATTTTGAAAAAAAAAAAACAACAAGACAGATGTCTGTTGCCATGCCGGAAGGTGGATGGCAGATAACTATGAAGAGAGGAGACAAGAAAAGGCTCTGATTTAATGTTTTGTTTCTTTTAATACTTTGATGCAGTGATATGTGATGCTGGCTGTGTATATGTGATGTTCCCACTGAATCAAGACCATTTGTACGATTGAGTCAAAATTTTAAAATGTAGGAACCTTGTTTTTTCGGCCCGCCTTGTTTTTTTCGCCCGCTCGCATTAAATATGGAATCTGCGGAGGATGTCATCCATACAATTTACTTGCTGTGGCCTCAATATGAAATCTGCCAGCTGATTGGAAGAGAAGGGAGAAATCTCTCAACTCCAAATACAGTTTTTGTTTGTCCGTTTATCCGACTCCGACCGTCATAGTGGGTTTTAAAGGATGGTCTGGAATCCTGTGCCTGTGGTTGTACACGACCGGATGTTTCTCCATCCAGTCGCTCATCAACAAGCATTTACGGAGTGTGCTTTTACTGACAAAATGTAATATTACTCAGTAGGGAAAATATGCGTTTAAAGATTTTGAACAGCCCAGACAAAAGAACTTATGCCATAGGTGGGGATAAGATGTATTTCGAGATCTTCTATTTCATTTTCAGGTGCGGCATCTCTGCCAGGTTATGAATGGTGGTTTACTAGAGATGGCTATTCCATTGCTGGGAGGAGCACGGACAAGACCAAACCGGACTGATGACGTGTCAAAGTCGGCCTATCATGTAAGTTTTGTATCACTTTAGTGTGCATATAATACATATCTGTATCATTAACGGGTTATTATCTCGTATATGTCAAGTGCGGGCGGGTAACGAGCGCGCCGTAGGGGTCCCGCTCTGTTATGGCTTGATGATTTGACTCAGCTGGACTGAAGGTCCTAGCTTTAAACACGCTAATCTACTTTTCGGTCTTCCTGCTCACAAAAAGTAGGAAGGGTACCATCCCATGTGTATTCCGAGCCTCCCATACTCGCTTCTTAACTGACACCAAGAACACAAGCCGGGACTATTTCGTCAGTCGTGTCGGTCACGTTTAATAGAGAAGAAAACAGTAGGTTAGGGCAGGCCTGGGCTAGGGGTACAATTTCTGGGTCAACCGTAATCACTCGGAGCATGATTTGTCTGCCATTTCGTGACGCGCCGTGTTATTCAGCCCGTGATTGGTGGAACTCTGACGCTGTTAACCATTTAACCAATGGTCATTAGCGCTTACTGTAACCTTTTGGGTGATTTGTACTTAGTGAAAGCCTTGTTTACTACAGAAAGGGGGGGGGGCGTATTTTCTCGTAATGTTCACTTTGACATTGTCCTCTACTGAGGTGACCTGAACTGCAGCCGACTCACCCGGAAAGCCTGTTGCGTAATACGGCGAACATGAACTGCAAAACCTTCACAATTCAAATCATACAGTCTGAAACCCGATACATTCCTACACCACACAGCGCAACTAACGTCTGGCTGACGCTCTTATCAGGCTTTCTACCAATTCTTCAAGAATATTCACTGTACTGATAATTAGAGAATGTCATGGCAAGAGGGTAACTAGTGTTCCGTTCTCTACACGCGTGAGAGAAAATTTCGTTCGTTCAAAGTCACAACAATCTCGTCCCCGACGCAGCATGGGATGTTTTGCTTGCATTCAATGATTTGCAAGGGTTATGGGAACAAGTGGGACTGTTCCATTGTATCTATTATACATGGGGTGTCTGGCCTGAGCGCGGAAAGATTTTCTGGATGCCGCTGTCGGGACCTCTTCGAAATTCATGAACATCGACAGTATCAAGTATTCTACACGTAGTTTGATTGCTCGTGGCTTGAGAACGGACTGACGTAAACTCATCGACACTACCACATAATGTTTTAGCCCAAACTAATATCCAAACGGAGCGGCAAACAACGAATTTGGCGAGTCTTCTTGGCGAAATGCGGAAATTTGCATATAACCCTTGACCTAGATTTGTTCCCGCTGTCGCGAGATCTTTATTTTTATACACACTTTTAAGCTGAGCTGTTGCCCGACGGCACGAGATTGTTGTGGAAGGAACAAAATTTTTCTCACGCGTGTAGAAAACGGAACATTAGTTACCGGCTTCTCTTGTCAATTCTATGTGAACCCTCGTGGTAGCGCGTGCCGTCACGCCCCTGAATTCTCACCCATTGAAATGGGGTCAATTACTTTCACTTACAATTCCAAGGCGTTCAGAGAGCGGTCGGCTTTTGTTTCCGAAGGGGCTGGGGTGTCTGTATCTGTATGAATCTGTATCATTATAGCCGGTATAACCTCCATTCGGCGTAACACACCAGCAAGTTCCAGTCTACGATACTTCTTGGGAAAGAGTTTTTGAAGAGGGCCTGCATGGGGGGGAGGGGGGTAGTGATTACGAATTACGCACAATTTTCGCCGCCGATTCTATACCCCCATTCAACTTGGACGGCGCTCTCTTGGCGCCCTCAAATTGGCCAGAGCGCAGGGAGAGCGCCAAGCGATGAGAGCGGACGAAAAAGGGCTTGCAGACCCCCTGTGAACACCTTAAGTATTGGTTGATAACTCTGATATTCGAAGGCATGACTGTTTCTTGTTTTTTTCTGGGCTGGTATCAGATACTTAGTGGTTGGTACGTCCACCAGGGTGGTCTCTTATTTGCAACTTGCACGGGTTTTGATCAAACGTACATGTAGATCGCGTGCTATAGAAATTAGAATGCCATATCACAGAGATGGCTGCTTTCTTGTGGAATATTATATATTTATATGTATATATGTATATGTATATATCTATGCCATATTATGTTATATTACAGGAATGTTATAAAAATGACAAGAACCTCGAATAATATGTCATTGGTCACCTTTTAGAGGTAACGTTACGTCATCATGCTCATTCCACTGGAACTGAGGAAAGATCCTTACTGATTTGCATCAGTAGCATGCACATACACCCGGTTTGAAAATGCGTAAGTTACAATGGATTTAGAAGTAAGGCCTCACTGATTTGATTTGATGGATGACATTTGCGCGTGCATTGATTTTGACAGTTCTGGAATATGATCTTTTAGATTGGGTGGTCTATGTTAACGCCTGCTCCGCTTCGCTTGTGTAATTCTTCGATAGTAGAAGGCCCTTTCTGCCCCAAATCCATGCGCCCCCGCGGTTGATATAGTACTGCACCAAGCGTATTATTGCGCAGCACGACATCCTACCTTTGACCCAGCCTCACGGAACTCCAGATCTTAGTGCAGCGCACCGGTGCCGACTCATAAAAGCTTTTAAATGTCAGCGGGCATGTTTTGAACGTCGTCAAGAACAATCAGAAATTAGCAATACCAGATTTGTATTCCTGTAGTTCATCAGTATTTTGGCTGGACTTTTTTATTCGCCCGCTCGCATTCCTTTTGGGGTCTTCAAAGGATGTCATCCATAAGATTAAGTCAGTGTGGCTGTGTAACTGTTACCGATTTTTTTTTTATTCATCGGTGGCTAGTGCTTCAGAGCGAAGTCCTAAACCTTTGTCACTTTAATTTTCAGAACAATGCCCCTTCCAAACATGAAACTGCTGATTCGATAATTCGTGATGAGGAGATATGTGACTGTGGGGGCGCTTGCAATTGTCGCACATTCACGACAAGCCAAGAGGAGAACTTTGACAATCTACCAGGGGGTAACAGGAAAGATGCTTTGCGGCGATCAAAACGTGTAAATCCTGACGATGTGCCGTCTTGGGTGCGGTCCAAAAGGCACCAGAACCCACTAGCCTATGACAGAACGAGGCCCCGCGCAGCACGATTCTCCTTACATCTAGGCACTTTGAATCACCCCCATCCCGGTCTCCGGAAGTTTATGAATCACCCCCACATCAGCGAATCCCCCGGACTCGTGCAATGTATGAATCTTCTCCACTGCAGGGCAACCCCCGATCTCCGTCAGTTTCTGAGTCATCCCCACTTCAGCCACTCCCCAGATCTCCGTCAGTTTCTGAATCATCCCCACTTCAGCCACACCCCCGGTCTTCGGCAGTTTATGAATCATCCCCACTTCAGCCACTCCCCCGGTCTTCGGCAGTTTATGAATCATCCCCACTTCAGCCACTTCCCCGGTCTCTGGCAGTTTATGAATCATCCCCACTTCAGCCACTTCCCCGGTCTCTGGCAGTTTATGAATCACCCCCACATCAGCGAATCCCCCGGACTCGTGCAATGTATGAATCTTCTCCACTGCAGGGCAACCCCCGGTCTCCGTCAGTTTCTGAGTCATCCCCACTTCAGCCACTCCCCCGGTCTCCGGC